ACAGAAGGACATCCCCCATCACTAACACACATATGTAATTTTACATTTTGAAAACATGTGGAGAAAATACATGAAAGGAAATCTTGAGACTTGAGTAACATGTGAAAGGTTTCTTTTCTGAGAGTCTCTATATCCTCCATTGTTGACATAAACCAAGAGAAGGAAATATTCAGGCTGCATTGGGGGAGAAAGAATCCCAGAGAGACAGACATATACATGAAGGTCTGAGTCAGGGAGGCTATATGTCATCTCTAGCATTGGAAGAATATTGCAGCAGCTTGGTGAAGAAGAAAAGTAACACAGAGCAAGGGCATGTGGGCCCAGAGTGAGCCACATCTTGCACCTTAGAGCCTAAAATGAACAAGTCCACACGCTTCCCCACTTTGTAAAGGTCAAATGTGAAGTCAGCGGTTGTGGTGTTCTCAGCTACCAGCACCCTCTGATTCAAGCAGTTTGAAATAGTTTAGTTGTGAGAATCATGGTTTAAAAACAGAACTAGTCTTAATATATCTGGGAAAACATTATACTAAAATGAACTAAGTAATTGTTATGCATAGTCACCAATATGTAGCCATGGGTAAAATTTCCGAGCTGAGCCCAGGCAAGGCAGAAGAAATGTAATTGAGCATCTGAATATTGGCCACATGGGTCACATTGTCTCTCCTAACACTTTTAACCAGCTTATGTTTCAAAAAGTTTAAATAAATAAATAGCGCACACACATAAGATACCAACATGAAGGAAAGGAAGAAGTGGTATTCCAATTCAGTCTTCCAATTGTGATCATTTATAATGACAATTCTGCCTTAGACATAATGAGTCACTGGACGAGAAAAGCAGCTCAGTAGTCAAGAGAACTTGCTGTTCTTCCAGAGGACCCAAATTCAGTCCCTAGCCTCCACTTCATGCAGCTGAAAATCACATGTAACTCCAGTTCCAGGAGATCTGATGCTGTCTGCTGGCCTCTGTGGACACCTGCAAAAATGTGATGTATACATGCACATATACATAAGAATGAATATTAATCTTTAAAAAAAATAAATGGTGAGTAATAATTCTTCCAAGGTCACAGCTCTAAGAACATATTTGTGCCGGACTTGCATAAATAAAAGATCCATGTGCAAGTTAGTAGTTTCAGACTTTTTAAAAATACATTCACTTATTCTTTATTAATAAATACAAGTGTTTAAACAGTTAAACATTTGCTTGCAAACATTAACTGAATGCAAGACAATGTGGTATCTTGGAGATGAGAATATGAACAATAGGAGAGAGGGAAAGGTTGAGAAATACAGGGTCTGCCTTCAGAATGTTTGAATTCAGAAAGCTAGTCTAACATTCACGTGGCTGCAAAATAGTGCTATGTTCTCCGCAGGAACAAAGCAGGTCTTAAACACTGCCTGCCACACCCTGCCAATACAAGTCCAAATCAAATAGGCAGACAGGTACAGAATGCGTTTTCATTGTTTGGGCGTGTGTACTCACATTTAAAGGCATTCACATCCTCTCTTCAAGCTCAGTCAAACTAGGATGCTGTTTTAAACAGGGACCCACCATTTGTTTTAAGGGGCTGTGTGGATAGAGTTGAGTGAATTAAGTCCTCAATTTGATTATTTCTTCTCATCTCCTTCTTTATGCCAGATAACTCTACTAAAGAAGGGATGAAGAAGGGTAACCTCTCCCAAACTGTTTTTGCTTGAGCAGTACTGAGGCTGGGACCCAAAGTTTCAGGAAAGCCCTATATCATTAACCTAGTCCACATTTCTGTTCAGTTTGTTTTGTTCTGTCTTAAAAACACAGTAAGTTGGGTTACTGAGTCACTGATTTGGATGGGCTGTGGTGGGGTAAAGTGACACTAAGACAGATCCTGGAGTCCCTGACTATGGGATGAGGGAGGTTAGACTTTCTTCATTACACTATACAGAAAATCCTGAATCTTGAGTGTGTGTGTGTATGTGTGTGTGTGTGTGTGTGTGTTTACAGAGCCAATCTCCTAATTAGGGGACATATACTGAAATGGATATTTTTTCTAATTATAGAAATGAATCTAGCACATCAAAGATACTAATGTCATTGTTTTATTCTCAACTTCCTTTGAGAGCTAGTGCACGCTCAGCCTAATATTTCCCCAGATTGTTATTGTAATGATATTACTAGGCACCAGTCTCAAAATTAGTTTCAGATTCACAGTCTTTTGCTTCAGCCAACATCACTGTTTCCAAACATAAACAACTGACATAGTGCAGCTTACCCTTTGACCAGAATTCGCTTCCTTCCCCTTGTCACACAATGGCTCTTTCTCACGTTTCCTGTGGTATATAAGGTCAAATGGTTGATGGTTTCTTTCTTTTAAGAACATGCTCAACATGGGTTTTTGACATTTCCACACAGCTCAGATATCTTCCGCAGCAGATTTTAATAATATCTTGACCCATAACCTTTTGCTTTAAAATTGGTTTGGGCAAGAAATCAAAAGTAGGATAGTGTCTATATTAAATATTGATTTTTTAAAGAAAGAACTCTTTTATTTCCTTGCCCTTTCTTCAAAGAAAGTAAAAGAAGACAATAAAGGGGTTAATAACCTTTTAAAACTTCACCCAAATTTTTTCCTTTATCTTTATTCTTTGGCTTGTAATAGTATAGTTTGGGCAATATTAAACTCACAACTAAATATGTACTAAAACATTTTTAGTAAAATGAATTAACTTACAAATTTGACTTTTAGATACTCTATCAAGGATGAGTTTAATCCAAAACAAAACATGCCAGATGGTGGTGGTACATGCCTTTAATCTCAGCACTCAGGAGGCAGAGGCAGGCAGATGTCTGTGAGTTCAAGACTGGCATGGCCTATAGTAAGTTCAAGGGCAGACAGGGATACACAGAGAAGCCCTGTTTTGAGACACCAAATCTAAAAGCAAAATACAATTTTAAGAAATAAACTTGGAAAGAACTTTTCTCTTATTTCAATTATTATCATTGTTCTTATTAATTATTGCTAATACTATTTTGTCTTAAAAGAAACTTTGCTATCTGTCACAAACTGGCCTCAAGTTTGCAATCCTCCTGCATGAACCCCCAGGGTACTGACATTACAGGTGTGCATCGCTGTGTCCAATTTATTATTTCAAAATTTTAAGGGTACATTTTCTTTGAACATTTTTCTAGTTTCATTTCTGTTGCTGTGGTGAAAATGTCCTGACCCCAAATCAACTTAGAGAAGAAAGAACTTATTTAATCTCTGATTTTAAGTTAAGATCCATTATTATGGGGAAGTCAAAGCAAGAACCGGATTCATCATCTCCACAGTCAGAACACAGAGTGACTAAATGCTTGGATCTCCGCATCTTTTATTGCTAGCTGTCTCCATGATGACACAGTTCAGAGATCAAGCTAGAGGATGGTGCTGCCCACCTTCAGAGTGGACCTTCCCAAGTCAATTAACTCAGTTAAGAAAATCTCTCTCATTGATGCCCTCGTGCAACCTAATTGAGACAATCCCTCTCTGGGACTGTATTCCCAGGTGATTCTAGATTGTGAAGATGAGGAACACAGGCATGATTCCACAATCAACAGGAGTGTAATCCACTTTCCGTTGAGCACTTTCCTTTGCCAGTTACGGGGCACAATGATCCCTACCAGGTCAATGCAACTACAGTGTGCTACTAGAGCTCCCCTCCAGATTTCACAAATGGGACAGGATATAGAGATTAAATTATATTACACAACTAGCTCCTAGTCCAATGAAACTACTTCAAAAACAGGGGAGTGTAAGGGCTCTTCCAACATGCACCGGAGACATGGCTATGCAAAGTCAACAGCCGAAAGCTCTCTGTAAGAGTCAGAATGGGAGCTGCACCCAAACCCCGTCATGCTGGCCCCCTTTGGTTAGCTTCCACTTCCAAAACTCTGAGAAAGTCAATTCCATTGGCAAAGTTTTGCAGATTGACCACTGACATTAACAGCTGGTGGTTACCATACTTGTCTCCATTGTGTGAGTTGGGAAACAAATTCGTAGGTTAACAGCACAGGACATTTGAACCTAAACGTGTCTCTATCAACTGGCTCTTTATCTGCCCCTTTGAATCATGATTTAACAAATACTGAACTAACTTCTCAATAATTCCCAAGCCTCTGGCTGTTGTTTTTCTTTTTAATTTTCTGGTTTTATTGAATACACAGGAAACCAGTGAATCATTCTCCCTCCTTGTCTCCATCATTTGGGTTTTATGTTTTAGCAAGAAGCTATCATCTCAGATGCAGAATTCTACATTGAGAATTGAAAGAAAAAAAATTATTGTCAATTTCCCTGAAATCAAAATAAACCCAGGATATGCTCTGGCTGCATTTGCTTTCTGTAAAACATCATAAACACAAAATAAGTAGTGTTGTGCCTGAAACTAATTGGCAGTGTCCCCGATGCCATATTACATCCAGCTTCTATTAATTGGATTAGGGATTCTGTGAGAATGGCAGCTGGTAGAGGCTTTGCAGTTACTGTGGCTCTCTGTAATCCCTGCTGCAGAAATCACCACGTAACAATATCAGAGAGTGACTGTGATTGGACTCAGGAACATTTGTTTCCTTTCCTTGGGGAAGGCACCAGTGTGTGTGTGTGTGTGTGTGTGTGTGTGTGCATGTGTGACACACATGTGTGTTCACATGGTGGAAACTCATGTGTTTCGGGGTGAACATGCACATGGAAGGCAAAGGGTTAACATTGGATGCCTTCCCTAGTTCTTCTTCACCTTCTATATCGAGGCAGGGTATCACACTTGAACCTATAATTTGCCCATTTTACTAGCCTAGACAGCTTGTCTAGGAGGTCCTTTGTTCCAGTTCCTGCATTTTGGGGGTTACTCAGCAGCACCTGGCATTTACATAGGTGCATAGGGTTCAGCAAGCACTATATATGCTCAGCCATCTCCTTGGCCCCTTCCTTAATTTTTTTCCTTGAAAACTTAAAAACAGGAAGCTAAACTTACTTTCTCCCCTTTCAGGCTTTCTCCAGCCATCTTTTTATACCTGATCAACATCATGCCGTCCTTGTGGCTCCTTGAAATGCACCATGGAAACCAGGTACAGCAACAGTCCACTTTCAGAATAGGACATGATTTGTTTTACTTATATGCTTTCCCAAGGGTTTGAAATTATCTAGTATTGAAGAAAAAAAGAAGCCAGGGACAAAAGACAGTGATGTCATAATCTATCAAAAATAAATGACATAATCACAATTACTTCTGAGTTATGCTTATTTAACTAGCATTTGTGGGTAATTATCTTAGTTGACTTTCTATTGCTGTGCTTAAAATCATGATCTAAAGCAACTTGGGAAGGAAAGAGTTTATTTGGCTTATATGCCTAATCACAGTCCATTGAGGAAAGCCAAAGCCCAAACACAAGCAAGTCAAGACTTGAAACTGAGGTCATGGAGGAGTGTTGCTTACTGGCTTACTGGCTTACTCATTATGGCTAGCTCAGACTGCTTTCTTAAGAACACAGGACCACCTGCCCAAGAGTTGCACTCCATAGTGAACAGGGCTCTTTTGCATCCATCACCAATTAAGAAAAATGTCTCACAAGCATGCCTACAGGCCAGCCAGATGTGACCATTTTTATTTTCAATTGAGTTTCCCTCTTCTCAGATGACCCCAGCTGATATCAGATTGACAATAAAATGAACCAACCAGCACAGTGATCTTTTTCTAAAACCCACCCTCCTTTTCCCACTACATGCTAGCTAGAGTTCACAGGGAGATGTGAAAATGACACTTATCTATTTATGTTTGTGTGTATATGTATGGATGTGGTGTATGCATATGTGTTTGGTGTATATGCATGTATATATCTGAAATGGTATTCTTCCTGCAGAAGTCAACAGAAGATATAGGATGTTCTCCTCTGTCACTCTCTGCCAAATTTCTTCAAAGCAAGATCCGTCACTGAATTCTGTCAGCAAAGCCAGGGATTCTCTTGTGCCTATCTCTGCCAGCTCTGGGGTCACAGGATCATGCAAAAAAGCCTAGCTTTCATATGGATGTTGGGAATTTGTACTCAGGTACTCATTTTTGCACAGCCAGTCCTTAACCACTAAACCATCTCCTTATCTCAGTGAATAAGATTTAACACGTGCAGCTCTAGGAGTTTCCAAGAAGTTATGCTAAGAGTGTCATTATCCTAAGACCTGTTCTGGCATTACTGGGAGGACAGTTTTTAAAGAAATACAAAAATAAAAATGAAACTACATTCAAATAAACTTTATCTGTGCTCACATGAATACATTCAAACTTCTGGGACTATTGAAAACACAAGGGAAACAGATTCCAGGAGAAACACTTTTGGAGCTTGCTGGGACATCATACTAAAACAGAAATCTGTGGGTTGAAGAGAAAACTCAGCAGTTAGAAGCATTTGCTACTCTTGCAGAGGACTGGAATTCAGATCCCAGCCCCCACTCTGGCTGCTCACAACTGCCTGTAACATTTCCAGGACATCTAATAATGCCCTTTCTTGGCCTCAACAGGAAACAGCATGCATGAGAGCACACACACACACACACACACACACACAGTTTAAAAATAGAATAAAATCTTCTAGGGCTCTGATATTAAAGATAAAAAAGTAATTTCCTGAAGTCCATCAAAGGTAAAGGTACCATGCACATCCAACCACTTATAAAATGACCACGGCTTCCAATCCAAACCCCATTTATAAAGCAGTTCCCATTACTCATGTTTGTTTTGCTATGTAACCCAGGCTAGCCCTGATTGAAGTAATCCTCCTGCCTCACCTTCTTGAGTTCAGATATTCCCTGACATACCTGACTTATACAGTGTTCTAAATATTGACCTACTTCCTCTGTGGACTTGTCTGGCTCATGGGCTCAAGAACGAGCCTGTCATTTGTTTTGTTAACTCTCCTGTAGGTGTTTTGGAGGCTTCAATGATAAAATGCTTCCGGCAAGATTTGCTCAAAATTGACCCTGTATAGATTTCTTTTCTACGGCTGTTATTTTATATCAAGGTTGAGTCTCCAATTTATATGTAACTCTATCTGAAAATGCTTCCTGCAAACTTGAAGCACAAAGAAGGTAATTTACCTTTGTGGATCGCTTTTGACAAAACTCCCAAGCAAATGTCAATCATGTAGCCATGAAGAAAACATTTCTCCTCCTCAAACCTCTTGCTGAAATTCATTAAAGTCCGAGACAACCTCAATGTCTGCTTTAAGGTATTTTTACAACTGTAGATTGGTTGATTCAAGTCACCATGGCTTTGATAAAAAGACCACAAGGAGCTAGAGGACCACTTGAGTCTACTTTCATGACTACGAAAATAAGCTGTGGTGATTTGAATCAATTTCCCCTCTACACATCCAATTCTATGACATAGCTATCATCCACAATAACAATTCATTTTCCCAAATGCTTTCATAATATAAATGTATTACACAGCTAATTTATATACAGGTCAAATCCCATTACAACCAATAGCATGTAACCCAAAACTCTTTTTTAGTGTGTGTGCATGAGAGAGAGACAGAGACAGAGAGATAGAGAGAGACATAGACAGAGAGATAGAGAGAGACATAGACAGAGAGACAGACAGAGTTTTGAGCCTTGGGCAGAACTTCTGTGGTTTTCATACTACAAAAGAAATCAAACCCTTATTGATGTGATTTGACACTGAAAATTAAAATGAATACCCAGAGACTGAGGCAGGTAGGGCAAGTGGAGATGGGAGTTGAAAAAGAAAGACAAAAATATTGGGATTATGTTTAGAGAAGTAAGTGACATTTCAGAATGGAGGGAGGTAGAGAAATCTCTGGTTGTTGTGAGTCACTTTTGTTTCATAGAACCTGACATTTCAAGGAGTTTTCAGATAGATTTTCTCACTTAGGGATTTAAGGACCCCATACATTAGGCATGGTGCAGATATTTCTATTTTATAGAAGAGAATCCTGGGGGTTAGAAGGCTTAAATTCAGAAACAACACCTGGTCTAGAAGAACACATTCTATAATGTCTCATGGAAGCTTGCATAAGGGTCATCTGAGTTTTTCCATGATGGAAAAGAATCATTTACTTTTCATTTATAAAGCTAGAGAGATGGATGGATCAGTGGTTAAGATCACCTGCTGCCCTTGTAAGAAACCCAAGTTCAGGTCTTGACACCCACTGGACCCACAACATCCTGTAACTCCAGTTTCTGGAAATCTGACACCCTTTTCTAGTCTCCTCAGTCACCTGCAAGCATGTGGCATAAAAACGCAGAGAGACATACACATATACATCATTAAAAGTAAAAATAAATAAATAAATAAATAAATAGATAAATAAATAAAATATTGATTTCCATTCACAGTTTCCATTTATTTACATACCAGTCATTCTAGATGACCTACTTCATACCTTTACTCCTGAAGTACTGTGGTCTACACACCTGTAAACAAAAATCTCCTAAGGATTTCAATTCCCATCACTGAAAGTGATACCTGGCTCCTCATGATGCCCTTGCTACCTTTGATTCAAAGGGGTATTTTAGGTTTTAATGCCATAGCCATAACTAAAGAACTTCACAGAATCCTTTGTATGATAATGCCTACTAAAAGAACAGACAGGAAAGCAGAGCCAACCCCCTGTTTGTGGCAGCCTTGATGTGCAAAGGAAGGTTCCTGGATCTAAAACTGAGTAACAAGGAGAGGAGAGGATCTCAGTTAGCACAGTGGGGCACTTGCAAAGTTGTTTCCACATCAGAAGGCACTACCTCCAAGGGTGTCATTCTCCTTTAATAGCAAGTTGTTTATGGAGTTTTAGAGATAAAGGTATCAGAACCTATCACCTCACCACTTTTAATACATTTTAATATATTTCCATGTCTTTTTTCTTTTTTTTTTTTTAGGTGGTCAAAATTTTGTCGATAGTGGCAATTGCATAGTTAGGCTTATAAAGTTACTCGTCAAAAGATGGTTTGGGGTTTGGATCAAAGATTAAGTGTTTTATCATCATTATTTCTTTTTAAAAGTTTGTGGCATGCATGTGTACACATGTGCACATGTGTGCATGTACACACAACATACACACACTTGCACATACACTCACATGAACAAACACACATGTACAAACATGCACATATGTGTGCATTCACATTCATATACATACACTAACTTGAACTTTCACTTGCATGTACACACACATACATGCACAAGCACATACACACATAGTGTGCATACTCATAATCATATTGTTTCCCTTACAACACTAGTCTCTCAGGTTAAGAGCAGAAAATAATGGCTTCTTGGCAGACATTACTGTCTACTTGTCAAATGGCTTATAGAATAAATGGCATGGTATTGAGAATAACAAAGAAAAAAATTTTCTTAGAGCTTTAGCTCTTTTTCCCCAATAATTTCTCTCTAAAGAAATATGTAATCATGGTAGTAATGGTGGTGATTGCAGTAATAGCGGTGGGGATGGCAGTGATAGCCAGGGGAAGTAGCTCTCTTTCTCTGTGTCTCCTGCCTCTCTTAGTCTCTCTCTTTGTGTCTCTTTCTCTGTCTTTGTCTCTGTCTTTCTATGTCTGTCTCTCAGCTGTGTCCGTGTAAGTGTTTATAAAACATACAAGCACTGCAGATGCTTAGAAAGGGTCAACCACTCTTGAAGCCAGCCAAGTGTCTCATAAATTTTTCCACCTCATATTCTTAGTTTTCCAATATCTGACTAGATAAGATTATAGACCATTCATTTCTAGAAATTCATGAATAGCATGATGAAAGTAAAGAAGAAAATCATCTCTCTCTCTCTTTTTTTTTTTTTTTTTTAGATCAATTACCAAATTTCCCACAGCCCTAGGTTGGCTCAGTAGCAGCACTGGTGTCTGGAACACTGGATGTACTGACTTATATGTGCCAAGCCTGGTCTGAAGTGTGAAAGTAATTGGATTATTTATTTAACTGAAATGTTATTTTTAGATAGAAAGCTTTCTTGGTAAGAAAACAGACTCATAAAATAATGTCTTCTTAGAGTTTGTATCACAATTGTTCCAATAAAGGTTCAAGAAAGAACTACACCATAGATTTACAGCATTCTAGGGTGGTTCAGGGTCTGTATCCTCCGTGCTATGGGAAAGGAGGTCTGGCAGTGAGCACTCTTCTCAGGTACCTTCCCCGTCATATTCTGGTCTCAGGTAATGTTTACACAGTCTCTGGAAATGCCCCCACGGTCTTCATCATCTCTTACACAGAGTGAAGCTGCTTTGCTGTTACTTTGTTGTGATAGTTTTTCCACACCTGCCCTCCATTCTTAGTATTGCAGTGCCCAGCCTGAAAAACCAGCACAGAACTTCAGCAAAAGAGGAGATGTCAATCAAACCCTGACGTCCCACAGACACACCAATGGAATGGGAAATATCCTTGAGCTGGTGAGGGCTTTCCCCCATTTATGATTAATTTCATAAAGTTGCAAGTATTAGGCACAAGAATTGTAAAAGAAGACATATGTCATTCATTAAACCTGTATCATCTATATGATCATGTACATTGGGAGCATAACTTTTACAACAAGTATACTGAAACATAAAGTGCATCATATTAGAGTGCACTAATTATATTGCCACAAATTTATGTGCTTTAATTATGTCTATATTTTATATATAGTTGTGTATATCAATATCTTCCTTTAATCAGATTTGCAGCACAACTGAGAGGGAGGTAACTGGATTATCCATATATGTCTTTCATACATACGCAATCTTCCCTCTTGTACCTTGGTGATATATTAGTCCAACATCTGTATAGATTTGAGGTAAGCTATCAATAGCCCAGGTTGTTTAAAGACTCACTATGTAGCTGAGAATGACTTTGAACTTCTAATCTTCCTGTCTACACCTTTCCCATGCTAGGATTGTAGGCATGCACCACCACATCACGTGAATGTGGTGCTGGGGATTAGGCCCAGGACCTCGTGTGTTCTAGGTACTCTACCAACTGAGCTATATCCATAGTCTGAATATTTTTAAGCAAAAATTGTTGATCCTACATGGATGTATCTTTGTCATTAAATGTCTTAAGTTTAGATAAGAGTTCACTTTAGGTATTGTATGTTCTATGGGTTTAGACACATGTATTACAGTATTGATCCAAAATGTGTGCTTGCCTATCAGTGACCACCCTTTTCAACACACCCTAACTATTTTAGACAAGGGGACTCCCCTCCCTCTCTTTGCTCTCCCTCTCCATCTCCCTCTATCCCAGTGGTTGCCACCTGTGGATCATGATTTCATTGGGAGTTGAACAACATTTTCACAGGGGTAGCCTAAGACCATCAGAAAACAGATATTTACATTACAATTCATAACTACCAAAATTATAATCATGAAGTAGCAACAAAAGTACCTTTATGGCTGGGGGTCACCACAACATGAGGGACTGTATTAAAGGGTCACAGCATTAGGAAAGTTGAGTACACTGCTCTATCCTTTCCTCCAGCCCTCCTTCTCTTCTTCCCCCCTTTTTCTTCTTCCACCTCTCCTTCTCTCTCTCTTTGTGATGAAAAAAGATCAAACCCATGATTCTACACATACTAAGCACATCCAGCCACTGAGCAGCATCCTCTAAATAGACCTACTTAAATATCTTGTTTGTTACCCTCTGGTTGAATTGTATGGGTCTTTATAGGTTTTGGGTAACAGCCCTTTCTATGTCTCTCTTGAAAATATTCCTTCCAGTGCTCATGGCTTATCCTTTAGTTCTCTTGCCTTTTGCAGAGTAGGAAAATAAAATTTCAGTGAGGGTCAGCTTACTTATTCTTTTTTAGATTTTAGATATTGCATCAAAAATCACCATCATAACACACATCATCTGATATATATGTATTAATAAATTAATTAATATATGCATTAACATATTAATACATTTTCTTAGATCTGCAACCAAGTGTTTTATTTTTCTCCATGACAATGTAAGTTATTCTGAATTTTAGCTTAAGTATCTTATGTCTTCACTAGTTTATAGAAAGAAGATTGACTCTTGAATATCAACCTTTATTCTACAATTAGTTTATTAGTTCCAGGAAAGCTTTTTTTTCTTCTTTCCCCCACCAATTCTTTAAGACTTTCTACGTATAAATGTAAGTGATATTTTAACAATGACAGTTTTTTCTTTTCCAGTGAGCATAACTCTTATTTTCTTTTCTTGTTTTATTATAGTAGCTGTGATTATATAAATACATATTCATTGTATGTAATATTCATATAATAGAAAGGGCCATTTGCCAAAATACAGTTACACAGTGGTTCTTTTTTCTTCACACATCTTGTATTTAGCAAGTTGATAATGACCTGTTTGAAAACAACTAACAGAAGGGACTCATGTAATTGTTATGTACCACCAAAAAAAAAAAAATTCTAAAATAAGATACACTATTGAGCCCCAGAGTAGAATAGAGTGATGCATGCATTATCAGGCAAGTTACAGTTAGAACTTAGCTATGTTACTGTGAGTAAATCACTCATTTTTTTTACATCTTAACTAAAATAGTAATATTTGTCCTGATAATATATTGTCCTGTGAGTTAAATGTGAAGTTGTATGTGAGTTGTATGTGAAGACTCACAGGAGAAACATCAAGAAGAAAATGACAAAAATCTCTTGATCTTCCTGCATGGATTCAATCAGGTCCTCTTCTTCAGTAGTCATTTCTCTTCTGTGGATTTAGTATCGACAACTGATCAAAAGGTGTACATCAATTTTGCATGGGGGTAACTATGCCAGTTTCAGAGGTCACCTGGAACCATTATCCTGTCTACTAGTGACCTAGATCTTTCAGTCTTTGAATATGTTAGCCTAAGCCAGTAGTAACATACTTTAAAATTTATTTAGAAATTAATAGAAAGGATACTTTCTCCAGGATATATTAGGGGATCTATGTTTTCCTCAAAACCTAAGAGTAAAGACAGACTAAATTTTTCTTGCTGAATTATGGATTATTGAATAATATGCTATGTATTCAGTGTAAAGATAGGAAATATTACAATTATTCTCTTCCATTAAGCAAGTGGATAAGCTGTTTTTTCCTGGTTAGAGTTTTAAGGCAACCCTGAACAAAAGGATTGTATTAGGCTAAAAATCCAATGTTAGTAAATTCAGATTTAAAATCAGCAAAATAAATAATATTTTTTTTATAATTCTAATATGGAACTCATCAAACTTTTCTTCATGTTATACTAAATTGTGGGATATTGTAAGGAGTAAGGTTTTTCCTCCCACTGCCGCACCAGCCTCAATTAACACCCCGAGACTCTGCATTTGATATAAATGCTGTTGGCCAGGTACTAGTTTCTTATCAGCTAGCTCTGTCTAATTATTAACCCATTTCTATTAATCTCAACGTGGTCTCCTCTTACCGGACAGCCGGCTGGCGTCCTATTCTCTCCAGACTCTCCATCTTGACTCCTCCCTACTACTTCCTCTTTCCTCCTTGTCTCCTAGTCCCTCTTATCTTCCTTTCCTATTGGCCAACAGTGCTTTATCCATTAACCAGTATGAGACACATATATACATAATGGCATCTCCCATCAGGATATAATAAAAATACATAATGGTCATTAAAACATTATTATGTTGGTCCTTTCACTATAACAAATTATCTTCTTATTAACAGTATAACGTTGAAAATGGCCACATGCTAAGTAAATCCTACCTTTTTATATTTCCTTTTAAGAGTGTTCATCTAAAAGGAGTGCTGTTTTCCTTAGTAAATGATGAATGACTGTTGGAAAATGCTGACAAAAGCACACTGTTGACTGAAAGCCATGTTTAAGTGGATGATCTACACACTGACGGTTCCTAATGATGTCTGTGGGACATCTCTGTTCAACAGGCCTTAGGGTTTGTAGATAACTTATCCATGGTATGCGAACCAATCTGGACCCTAGGACTCCATCAGACGCTGCTGTTAATATTGATCATTGGACGGTGGCTTCTGCCTATTGGAGGAACCATTACTAGAGACCAACTTTCAGAACTCCTTCTGATGTTTGTGGGGACAGCAGCAGACATACTTGAATTCACCACTGAGACTCTAAAGGAAAATGATGTCAGGTAAGATCTGATTCTAAGTCAGCACCACACTTCTGTCTCATTGTCTTTAGTCTTTACTTGTGTGAATAAAGTTTTTTTTAAAGATATCTTTATGTCAGGGCTAGAGAGATGACTTATTTAGTCAATTGTTTGACATGCAAGCATCAGGATCTGAGTTTGGACCCCCAGTTTCCATGTAAATACTAGGCATGGTGTTTTGTGTCTATGATCCCAGCACTGGAGATGTGGAGAATCTCAGTGGCTCACTGGCTAGCCATTCAAGCCAAATCAGTAAACTCCAGGTTCAGTGAGAGATCCAGAAAGTAAGGTGAAGACTGATAGGTGACCACACCCAACATCAAACCTCTGGGCTTCATGAGCACTTACACACACAAGCAGGCACATCATCACATGCACACCCATGAACATGTATTCACATATACACTGTATCTACCAACTATACACAACACACACACACACACACACACACACACGCACGCACATATATATATATATGTCCTAGATACATCCTAGGAACAATTCTTTATAGTAAAGAGAGAAATGGAGGAAGGAGGCTTTTCCTGAGAAAGGAACAGGCTATATGCAGTCTGGATTAGAACAGATCACCATATTTTGGCACCAGCAGTCCAGGAGAGCCAGGGAGGAAACACAGTGACTATAGGTATCTGAAGACACTCTGGTGTCTCCTTCATCTTCGGCCAGGAGTCGGGAGTATAGATAGCAACATTTTGTCTTAGATCACAGCATAGTTACAAAAGACAGAGAAATTGTCTCTTTCTGCAGCCTAAGAATTTACATTTCCCGGTGAGAAGGGAGAATGGAACAGATGAAGTTTTATTGTATGAAATTTTATATTTAGTCAGTTTTGTTCAAAGCGCCCAAAGGCTTTCTGGTGGAGATGCCTATAAATTAAAACTTATTGAGTTGGTACTTTTATTTTTGCCACAAGCAAATAAACTCAGAATCCATGATCACATCTGTTTATGGAGCCGCTTTTTTCCCATTAGGGATTTGAGTCCCCGCGCCTGAATGTACTTTAAGCTTGGGTTGTTTTGTATGATGCTATAAAAATAAATTGGAATGAGGCTGGCTTTTAATGCTACAGTTTACTTTATCCCGCACTCTTCAAACAACATAGCATAAAGCTTGAGCAAAACACACCAACTTATTGAATAAATTTAATTTCTCAATTATAGTCTGAATCATTATTTATAAGCAGGGGATTTTTTTTACAAGAATACTCATTGTTTTGCACATAATAATTTTTCTTTAAGTTTATTAAGTTGACATTCTTTTTTTTTTTTTTTTGAGGAGTCCAATATGAATCGAATCACTGTAGTCATAGTGTTTATTTTAGTCTCATAGTTTCAATGCCTTATGGTTGATCAGCACTTCACATTGCATAATGCTTTCAAATTTGTTTAAGATAATTATAATATGATGTCATTACTAGAAGAACATGAACGGATTATGATAGAGCATGTGAGATAATGAATGTGAATAGTTACAGAGACATGCCACCAAAATGATAACAGATTATCCCTATCTGGAAATGAATACATACATGCTAAATATCTACTGAGAACAGAGGCAACACAGGATAATAAAAGGACTAGTAGAGGGCTATGCTTTATGGAGCTAGTCATAAAATGAGACAAATGCCAAATCTAGTTATCTTAATGGGCTCTATAAGTCCCATCCTGAAGTATCATCAAAGAATAATGTATCCCATGTTTACCAATAAACGTTGATTATTAAATAAGTTTATTTAATTGCTTGATCCATAAAAAGAACCCTTGGAAGTCACTAGGCCTTGTTTAATTGACTAAGAACTGGTTTGCTATGTAACATGTGCCAGGTACTGTGTTGGACAGAGCCTGGGGAGCAAAATCATCACAAGCAAGTTATGAACCTAAGAGCAATTCAGCCAAAACGGGACAGCATGAATTTAGGGAGTACTTGATGTTTCAAAACACCATCAATCCCCAAATTTTTTCTGTCACTTACTGTTCAGTTTGAATACTTTCTGAGTATATATTTTGGAAAAATTGAACTTGCATTTCATGCAAGTGAATGCTTAATGGGGCTGAATAAATTATAGTTGGCCCTTGTATCTGCAGGCTTCTCATCCGTGGATAGAAAGTATTAAGTATTCTAGAGATGATTTCAAGTTTATCGTAGGAAGTGTGTGGATTATATATAATGTTATACAAAGTTTTATAAGAACCTGAGTGTCCTACAAACAGCCTCCCATGGATAGCATAGGAATTTTGTTAAGATGTTTATAAAACATATTTTTTCAATTGTATTTTCTAAACTTGAACTTAGAAGATTCCTGGAGTGTGCCAGTGACCTTTTGTAATCTCCCATATCCTTGCACCTCCATAACTCCAACGTACTTCATCCCATGGTCAAGTTCCAGAATGCATCTTGAGATTTTCCTCTCTTCAAACAACTTGCTTCCAAGTTCTTAGCTCCTGTTTCAGGTCTTATCTATATTGTAAGAAATGTTGCTCAAAATGGTGTGTGTGTGTGTGTGTGTGTGTGTGTGTGTGTGTGTGTCTGTGTGTCTGTGTGTCTGTGTGTCTGTCTGTCTGTCTGTCCTGAACAATGGGCTGGACCCATGGAACTGTAGTTACAGATGGTTGTTAGCCACTATGTGGTTCTAGTAACTGAACCCAAGTTCTCATCTGCTGAGCCATTTCTCTAGCCCCACAATGATGTCTTATGAATGACATAGTTTTGTGTAATATAATGCACTGATTTTTCTCTGATGAGTTATTTTTCTTGATGACACATATAAGTAAATCTACAATTAAAAATGTGTTTTCTTTTCTACCTATGGAACTTTTTTAGCTGGTGTGTGTGTGTGTGTGTGTGTGTGTGTGTGTTTGCTTTTTATTTAATTTTCTGTACACGTGAAGTAAACTTTCCAGTTTAGTATTTTTGGCATTGACTCAGAATTATTTGTTGTACCAGCTTGGACTAATTGTCTTGAAAATATGAGTTGAAAAAAATGCTCTTTCTGAGTTCTGCTGCCACATTTACTCAAAATCAATTGACTCCAGGTGTAAAAGCACCAAGAAAGCATGTGTTTGTCTTCATACCAACATCACATGATTGTCACTGTAGCTTATGGTAACTTTTGAGGTAGGGTAATCTAGACACTGTGTGTGGCACTGTTTTCTAAAAACATTGCTTCTAGTAACCTAAGTCCTTTGGATATCCACATGGCTGTGATTATCTTGAAAAGTTTTATTACACACACACACACACACACACACACACACACACACACACACACACACACACGGAAACACTTGTGATCTTGGTAGGAAGTGATGTGGCTTTAAGGCTCTCTGGGTTTTCTTTACATTATGAAGTCCTCTTATCAGTGAAGGTGAGAAGTCTGAGCTTAAATACTCTTCAATTCTCCTTTACCTTTCGAGTCTTTCTATGCTTTTTAAGTGGTTCTCCTGCACCTTTTGTTATTTCTTACAGTATTTCCAACGGAATTTATTTTTTACTTTGATTTTCTAATTTTTAGTTGTTTTGGTAAAAACATATTTACCTACATGATGATTTTGTAACTAGCAATAACACACAAAGTTTGCTTATTTTGTTTTATGTCTAGGTTTTACTATATGCACCCTGATCATTGCCATTGTATGTTCCATGAATTTCTTTTTCTTGTCTTATTCTACTACCCAGTAGTTTTTCTCTAAGTTGGACAGAAGTACTAGGATTATACATTTCAATATCCAGAGATTAGCATTCTGTCTGTCTCTGCTAAAGATGGTGCTGGCTTTAGACATGCAAGACTATCTTTGGTAACTTGAAGAAATGTCTTTCTTTAGATTATTGAGAATTTGTTCTTATGTGTATTGAATATCACAAAGTCTACCTTTATTAATGATTTTATTTTGGTTGCCCTTCATTATATTAAGGTTTTCAGATGTTAACCACTTTTGAGATCAGTATAAATTGAACTTAGTTATGCTGCATAATCCTCTATACTATGCTTTTTGCTCTGATTCACCGATATTTGTCCTTTGTTCTGTCTTGTATATGCGGCATGTTGTTTCCCAGTATATCTTCTAATGGTTCCTTGTTCTGGCTTTTGAATCAGTGTAACACCAGATTTTAAAAACATCTCATTATTTTCTGAAAATAATTTTTGTATAATTGATATTATTTCTTTAAAGATTTTGTAGAATTTGCCAAGGAAGCAATCTGGGTCAAGCCTTTCTAGAACCTGTTTCTATTTCCTTTTCTTTTTCCACTCTCTTCCTCATTTCTCTTTGTTTCTTCCTCATTTCATATAGTTGCTAATTCAATATCATTACTTCTGTAGGACTAATTAGATACTTTACATTTTTCTGAGTTTAAGTGTGTGTTATTCCTTCTATGACATTTTTGTTTCTCTTTCTTCTAAGTAGTTCATCTTTTTCCATGAAGTTATCATACTGTTAATATACATATGTTAATTTTTGTGGAGTCAGAGGAGAGCCCTCTATTTCATTCCCAGGTTTACGTGCTTGTTCATTCCCTTTACTTTTGCCCAATGGGAAATGGGCATGCTTACTTGTTGCATGAGAATTGTAGATTCTTTATTTTTTCTAAACAAACAGCTTAGGTTTTACTGACTTGATTAATATTCTATTTTTACATTTAATTCATTTCTGCTCTGATTATGAGTTTTCTTTCTTTCATGTGATTGCTTTGGACTATTTGCAGTTTTTCATTTCTTAATGAGACCTTAGATTACTAATCGTTCTCCTCTAGCATAAGCATCCAAAGACATATGTTTTCTTTTAACATCCTATAAATGTAAATGTGTTAGCCCTTTATTTAATATAATTCAAAATATTCTTCAGTTTTTCTTGATATCTCTCCTTGGCTTGTGATTACTTGTAAGTAAGTTGTTTTAATTTCTAAGTAAATGACAATTTGTCAAATTTCTTTCCTTTGTTTTTATTTTAATTCCATTGTAGTGTGTT